CGTGTAGTGAAACTGTTTCCTGGAACTGACAATGTTGTCAGAGTGTGTGAAGTCAAGCTCAGAGGTGGCGTTATAGTAAAACGTGCTGTGAATCGATTGTGCGTTTTGCCTGTTGACGTTAATAATGTTTGTTGAAAGTCCTGGACCTTTCAAGGCGGGCGGTATGTTTGGAACTTTATTACATTTGGAATATTGTATCTAGTAAACCGACTTTAAGTTGCATGTGGCAACCATGTATTGTAAGAAGAAGGTAAAATAGAAGTGTGGATAGTAGTTGCAGGTGTGTTAGTCTCCTAGTTTTTTCCTGATTGTATAAGTAAAAAGTAACGTAAGTGGTGACTACAGCCCATGAAAGCATCAGGGACGCCATCCGGCATCAATTGCAGATCCGAGGTAAACCCTTTACAACACAATGTTTATAAACAGAAAATATACCAACGTACTGTAACGTAATAATTAATGCATTGCAGTCACACGTCCATTAATGTCGCGCCACGTATTTCTTCCTAAAAATTAGTCTAACTATTCGTTGATCACTCCTGAGCAGTCAGATGTTTACTATATTATATTTCATACTATACACTATCACTTCCTTGTCGAAACAAGATCGAAACTCGCGAAGACATTTTTAAAACTACTTTAGAAAATCGATTTTAAAAAAAAGTACAATTGTTTATGTTTATTTGTTGTAAAATTTAAATATTTCCAACATAAAATAAGCAACACCTGTGCATAACTATATTCTGCATACCTTCAGGAAGTGTTTCCGTTTTGCACAATTCAAATTGAGATAGTTTCGTCTGTTTTACAGCACTTCGAAACAGGCCAGAATTTTTCGACGTGTACACTTGCTTAGTGCATACCGAACGACCGCTGAATGTCGACTGATGTCAAGGCGACCCTACAGCAAGAATGTACCTGCCCTGTCCGGAATTTCATTCTAGGACTATCCGTAAACAAGATATAAACGTATATAGATGAATATATACAACTCAAAAATTTGATTTTTGGCCAGATTTTCAGGATTCTGCCCCACTGTGCGACACTGTGCTACTGCGCCATCTAGAGCCGCTCCACAACTGCTGAATTTATGGCTGCTAACTGCTCTCAATGAAATTGTAGAACTGCAGAAGTCTTTAATCTTAAATGTTAATAGTTTCAGTAAAACCGACGCATGGCCTTTTTAGGCGCAAGGCCTTATTTGCTACAGGTACCTTATATTTTATTATTTATTATATTTTATATCCTATCAAGTAACGGATTTCTGTCCTATATAAACCTACCTACAAGGTCCATCAGTGGCACATGAATAGATCACTGCTTTGTGAAAGACCTATCCAACAAAAGTACTTGTATACCAATAATCCTAGAAAGCGATATTACTGACCACTTCTCCACTATTTTACTGATATCTTCAAATGAAAAACATTCTAACATCCTTACCGTTAGTAACAACCAGGAAAATTACAATTTTTTTGTCGACAATTCAAAACTAATATCAAATGTCAAACAAGAATCCTGGGAACAATTATACTCTATAAATAATATAGACAAAGCAACGGGACTGTTCATAGAGAAAATAAAAAAACTAATAGATATTAGTACCAATAAAGTAATAATTAGTCACAAAGAGAAAAGCAGAAATGCCTGGATTACCAAAGGATTAATAACATCGGCAATAGAAAAAGAAAGACTATATAATGTAATGAAACTAACGCCAACTACAGAGAATACCGACTGCTACAACCAATATAAAAATAAATTTATAGAGCTTGTAAGGCAAACCAAACGAAAACATTACCTAAATAAATTGAATAATAACTTAAATGATCCTAAGCGGCTTTGGACAACTACTGATGAGATTACTGGGAAAACAAAAGTTAAAGAGTGTGTCACTGAGTTAAATACAACATCGGGAACAGTATTAAAAAATACTCAACAGATATGCGATGAATTTGTACAATTCTTTACTGACATAGGCGAAAATTTAGCAAGTAATATACAAGCAAATGTACAAAATACCCAGCCTCCAAAAGAACTTTGAACTCATTTTGGATAAAGTCGAGCAATGTGAAGTATACACCACTGTTATGTCCTTAAAAAATTGGAAAAGTCCTGGGTTCGATGGTATTAAAAGCGAGCATTCGAAAATTATAGCCGAGGACATAACAGAACCACTCACTTACCTAATCAACAAATGCTTTGAATCTGGCATATATCCCTCAATTTCAAAAAAAGGTAATATAATACCGATATATAAATCAGGAACAAAAACAGATGTTAACAACTATAGACCAATATCAATAATATCCAGTGAAGCAAAGGTTTTTGAAAAAGTTTAATCTACTAGAATGATTCGATACCTCACAAAATTCAAAATTTTAAGTGAAAATCAATATGGATTTACAGAAGGAAAGGCTACATCGGACGCAATAACTAAAATTGTAAATCAAATACATCAAAATATTGATAACAGAATCCCTTCAATCTGCATTTTTGTTGATTTAAAGAAAGCTTTCGACACAGTTAATCACAAATTATTATTAGAAGCATTGGAGAGAATTGGTTTCAGAGGAAACGCGTACTCACTGATCGAAAGTTATTTGTCAAATCGCCCACAATCTGTGCAGATATCAGGATCATTTAGTGAAGAAATGTATATTAAGTGTGGTGTCCCACAAGGAATTGTCTTAGGTCCGCTGTTATTCAATATATATTTAAATGATATTTTTCAAATTAATTGTGTTGGCAAAATAACTAGTTTTGCAGATGATACTGCAATATTATATGAAGGCACTGACTGGTCTGATCTGAAAAATGTAATTGAAAATGAATTTATCAAAATTATTCGGTGGTTTAACAGTAGAAAATTAAGCATTAACTACTCTAAAACACATTTTTTACCATTTGGATCTTATGCTAGACATCTGCCAAATTACACAAATTTCTCCTTCAATATTAATGATCAAAAAATGCAAATTAATAGAGTGCCCAACATAAAATACCTTGGAGTGGTCTTGGATCCTCACTTACGATGGGACATCCATGTCAATTATATTTTAAAGAAAGTTAGATTTGTATCCTACAAAATTAAATACCTTGGGAATATATTGACAGAAAAATATCTTCGAACATTATACCATGCACTGATTGAGCCTCATCTCACATATGGTGTATTAGCATGGGGAGCTGCATGTTCCTCACATATCTATAATTTAGATGTTTTTCAAAAAAGTATTCTAAAAATGATATTTAAAAAACCGAAACTTTATCCCACTGAAAAATTATACGCAGATGTTCGAATGTATGTTATAAGACAGCTTTATTTCTTACACAGTATCACTCACTACCATAAATTTGTAAACACCGACCAAAAAATTAAACATAATCATTATACCAGGTACAAAATTCGTGGCACAGTAGTTCCTCAACCGCATAAATCTATAATGCAGCGATCATATCTCTATTTAGCGCCTAAATTTTATGAAATTATACCTAAAGACTTAAAAGATTTACGTTTCGGAAATTGTTTCAAAAGGAATTTAAAAAAGTGGCTACATTCTATATCTAGGACTGAAATTCATAAACTCATAAATACGAACATCAACTAAATACATAATCTACTGTAGCTAATTTTTGTCCTTTTTTGTCATTTGCATTCTACAGTTTCAACTTAAATTTATTGGTCCATGTACAGGCGATGCCTTCTATTGGGCCTGTTTTGATTTTATATTTATTTACTCATATTGTTTGTTATCTTTGTACATTGAGTGAATAAATATTATTATTATTATTATTATTTGAATGAAAAGATTAAAAAGAATCAGTCTCATCACACATAATTTTCAGACCTCGTATAGTATGTTGGAGGCAGCGGATGTTTTCAATAGTCAGGTGATTGCTCTGAAACTATAGTGTATTTACACCCAAGCTAGAATGGATGCGTGATTGCCAAAAGCAAGGACGGCGTACAGGGCCGCATTCAGGGCTACCTCCGAATGATGGACTACCACCAACGGTTGTAAAACAAAGATGACAGTATTTAACAGAAACAGAAACTTAACAAATTACTCAAATACACTTAACAACAACAGCAACAACCAAGCAAGGTGAATACGAAAACACGAGCACGCAGTGATACACGCGACGGACGGTGGCCTGAGTGCAACTCTGCCTGCCCTGCCCCTGCCCCGCGCATTATTCCGCCAGGCGACGGCTTGAAATTTAATGGCGAATTGACCAATAAGAGGCGTTGTCCCAACCTGTAACCGAGAGATCGCGCGCTAACTGTTATTATTTACATCTCATCTTGAATTTGGATTCAGTTTAGGTAAATTAAATAAATTTTCTATTTTTAGCATTTTATCAAAATTTCAATCGAGGACAGTCGTTTCGCTTCATGTATCAGGTTTCAGCTCCAACAAACAATTAGACTCTTTAAAGTGGACAAACCGATGAATGGCAGCATATTTATTTACATAATGATGTTCAACGTTTTTCAATACATGATTTTAGCCTTTGGACGAGTGTGTATCATGTATGAGTCTATAAATATTTGAATTAGTGAACGTTGAGCCTCTGCTTTTAGTACTCAATTGTATACAAAATGAACAATTCGTGTTTTAAAACAAATCATATACAATAACAATACAAAGGCACCGTGCAGTCAATTGCCGTTATTCATAATATTCAAAATTATCGTAACAACTGAAACTGATTTCAATGACGATAGAAATCCATTGTTTTCTGGTCAAATAAAGCTACACACTGGGTGTTTCAGGTTCGATCCTCACGTCAGTCGCTGCGTATTTAGATATTTTAATATTGTCCGTTGCAATAATCACGTCGCTGGTATACAGATAATTTTTATTCAGTTATCTGAAATCTATCGTAATGGCGCGTACCAAGCAGACTGCTCGTACATCCACCGGAGGTAAAGCTCCCAGGAAGCAATTAGCCACGAAGGCTGCCGGTAAAAGTGCTCCTGCTACTGGCGGGTCATGAAACCTCGCCGTTATCGTCCGGAAACTGTGGCTCTCGGAGAAATTCGTCGTTATCAGAAAAGTACCAAATTGTTGATCAGAAAATTGCCCTTCCAACGGCTGGTCTGTGAAGATTTCAAGACCTATTTGCGGTTCCAAAATTCTGCTGTAATGGCACTCCAAGAAGCTAGCGAAACATACCTCGTCGGACTATTCAAGGAAATGAACTTCTGCGCGATCCACGCTAAGCGAGTAACCATTATGCCGAAAGATATAAAGCTGGCAAGACGCGCCTAATGGAATTGACGGTTTTACTATTTTCCGGAGAGAGAGAGAGAGAGAGAGAGAGAGAGTATGGCGTGCGATAAGAGGTTATAAATATATATATATATATATATATATATTTATAATATATATATATCGTCGCCTGAATGCAGAACTATTGTATGTCCAAATTCTTCATTTTTCGGATATTAACACGACATTGTAGGTCATAGTCACCTACATTGCATGCAGAGGTATTGTAAGTCCCTGCACAAGCGTTCCCCCACCACTGGTCTTGAACGATATGTTGGCGTAATAGCTTGAGGCGCGTCATTTCGCTGCAGAACTATGATAAGAGCAAATGATCACTTACAGAACGACTGTCCAATGTCAGCAACAAATATTAGTCTACTTTCACGGACTAGTCATACTTTTTTTCCGGTAAAGCATCTATATCCAAAATTTCTCAGAAATGTTATTCAAGACACAAACTCGAAAGATAGCTCTCCTGTAAAATATGCATTTTGTGACTTAGAATACTTTTGCATTCAAGCGACGTTATATATATATATATGTATATTTTGAGACGTGGTCATTGTCGTCTAGACCAGTTAGGTGAAAAATTAAAGCTTCCGCCTTTTGTTGGGTACTTCGACAAAATTTAAGCAAAGAGGACTCTTTATACTTTTTTTAAATTCTCTCTAGCTTTCAATGGACTTTGCCATCATCATCAGGAGCTGCAATTACAATGATAACAGTAGCAACAAAAGTGTAAAATGAATTTAAATTGACTTAACTTACAGTAGTATGTGACGATGTTGCTAATTGTTGTTTACGTATAGGATGAGGGAAACGTCCAGTAACATGGTGAGAGCTGGATACATGGTACAATGGTCAAAATGATATAAAATATGACAAGACGTTAAAAACAGTTGAAAAATTATTTAAAAAACATTAGAGCATTACGTCGTGAAGTCACTTGATGATTGCACAAAATGGTGGTCATGGAATAATGAGTGAGATGACCCTTTGACAGAAGGCCGAAGGTTGTCAATGTCTGTGTTGAAAGATGGAATGAATTGTGGGCGTGTGCCAAACGTTGCCAAATCACTTCAGATGATGTGATTTTCAGAATGTTATGTAAGAAATTGTTAAACTGCGAAAAATTGGAGAACTTACATATCTCCCCAAATTTCGACTTTTCACAACCATAAATATAATCTGTGTTTTGGCCGATTCCACCAACAAATTTCATTCCACTCAAAATCTAATAATTCTCTTCTCACGATTTATTAATAATTGTTAATTTAAAATTCCCATCAATTAAAATATAGTTTATTCAACTGCCTCTGGTCGGTTTAACAATTTCTTACATAACATTCTGAAAATCACATCATCTGAAGTGATTTGGCAACGTTTGGCACACGCCCACAATTCGTTCCATCTTTCAACACAGACATTGACAACCTTCGGCCTTCTGTCAAAGGTTCATCTCACTCATTATTCCATGACCACCATTTTGTGCAATCATCAAGTGACTTCACGACGTAATGCTCTAATGTTTTTTAAATAACTTTTAATCTGTTTTTAACGTCTTGTCATATTTTATATAATTTTGACCATTGTACCATGTATCCAGCTCTCACCATGTTACTGGACGTTTCCCTCATCCTATACGTAAACAACAATTAGCAACATCCTCACATACTACTGTAAGTTAAGTCAATTTAAATTCATTTTACACTTTTGTTGCTACTGTTATCATTGTAATTGCAGCTCCTGATGATGATGGCAAAGTCCATTGAAAGCTAGAGAGAATTAAAAAAAGTATAAAGAGTCCTCTTTGCTTAAATTTTGTCGAAGTACCCAATAAAAGGCGGAAGCTTTAATTTTTCACCTAACTGGTCTAGACGACAATGACCACGTCTCAAAATATATATATATATATATATATATATATAAATGACTTGAGACGTGGTCACTGTCGTCTAGACCAGTTAGGTGAAAAATAAAGCTTTCGCCTTTTGTTGGGTACTTCGACAAAACTCAAGCAATGAGGACTCTTTATACTTTATTAGTCTTTAGCTTTCAATGGAGTTTGCCATCTTCATCAGGTGCTACAATAACATTGAGAAGAAATAGCAACTGTTGTGCAAAATTACTTTAAAAACTAACTTACAGTAGTATGTGACGTTAATAACATTTAGCAACAATCTCACATACGTTAATTTGAAATCATTTTGCGCAATAGTCGATATTACTTCCCAATGTTATTGTAGCTCCTGATGAAGGTGGCAAAGTCCATTGAATGCTAGAGACTAATAAAGTATAAAGAGTCCTCACTGCTTGAATTTTGTCGAAGTACCCAACAAAAGGCGGTGATGTATTTCCTTAGTCGACATTAATTTGTCGTTGGATGCAAATTATAAGGAAATAAAAAAGTATGGCGAAACCTGAACACAACATGAAAATTTTATTGATGCTAATAGCAATAATAATCATTAATAAAGGCAGAGATAAACCATAGCAGATGGAAATGTCCGGTATTTGCTAGAGACAGCCTCTTATCTGTACATTGTTCACTGCTCGATTAATTTTTCTTCTAGTTAGTATTTCAAACCCTTACGCTCAATTTGAGGTCTGGTATACGAAACACATTACATAAGTTCAAGGCCCACCTAGGAAGTTTGTTTTTCTGGAATAAATACGGTTTGGCAATGTATGATATATAACTTTTGAAATCACAATTTAAAGATCTATTCAGATGCGCAAGAATTCAATATGACGCCTTTGAGAAAAAATTAAGTTGGTGCTGGAAGAGAATATGGAAAGTCTAATTATGTCATTTTGTAGGGGAGAAAAAGTTATTTGAAAATCCCATGACACATGAAGCCAGGAAAAAACTGAATCCATTTTGGTAAAATTAGGTCTTTTCTGTGACTCTCCGGAAGTAGATACTTTGAATTTCGTAACTTTCTAAGCGAGTTTTTGGTAGTTACCTAAATATGCAACTTTTACCCTGTTTAAGTGGTGAAGATCGAATTTGAAATACCCTGTATATGTGGCCAGCACTCTTATAGTGATAGTGTATGTGTTTGTGAATTCATTTATCCAGAAAATGATCCCCAGATATAGAGCTGAAGATTTACTAAGGTTTATCTGATAAATAAAATACAGGGTGGCGCATCGAAAACGAAACAGACGCATTTACTGGCAGCTCAGTTTTTTTTTAAATACGCTCAGACCCGTCGATTTTGTTTTCGACGAGGACACAAGTTTGGGAAAAAATCACATTAGCACGTGCAGCTTCCTAAGCGGGGTGACACCACCCCAAAATACCTTATTTTAAAGGTCTTGGCTGAGTAGCTCCAAAGGTGATAAATCTGGCGATCTCTAGAAAATGTTCATCGTTTAAAATTCGTTCACTCATATATTCACAAAATTGTGATCGCCGATCAAAATCGTCTTCATTAAGTTCTTGTACCAGGTGAATTTTATACGGATGAAAACAATGGGCCCCTAGAATCCGCTGGACAGTACGTCGACTAATACCACACACAGTCTCCAATTTGCGGGTACTTAATGTAGAGTCTACAAAAACAAGCCCGAAAACCCCCACTTCTATTGCATCGTTCCTAATGTTGCGGTTTTTATTGGCGACTGACCCAGTTTCCCGAAATTTAGCTACAAGTTCTAGAACATATTTTCGATGCACGTTACTGTTCTCATGTCGCATTAGATATTTCTGCTGTTCTATTAGCGCACTGGTTAATTTGTGTAATAAAGCGTTACAAGTTATTTTAGCAACAAAGTTTGGTCAAATCAATCGCAAACTATGTACTAAATTCTTATTTGTAATAAGTACGAGATATTTCCTTATTTTTCTTCAAGAAATAACTTTTTGCCACAAAAAAACGCTCCAATAGCTATTTTCAACAACAAAATGATAAACAAACCATGGGCGTAGTGAAGAAAAGCATTTACTTATTAAGTAAATTCTTTTAGTCAAATTTCTTCTGAAAGTAGTACAAACTAATCTGATGTACCTATTAAAGTCTACTTTAAGCTTTAAATCAATAAATCTTCAAAACTACTGAACTGAAGTACATTAAATTTATATCATTATAAAAGGAATTGGAAGACCTTTAAAATAAGGTATCACTCGACCCCCCTTTCCATTTAAGATTTTAGGGTTGGTGTCACCCCCGCCCAGGGGGCTGCACGTGTTAACGTGATGTTTTTCCAAACTTGTGTCCCCCTCGAAAACAAAATCGACGAGTCTGAGCGTTTTTCCAAAAAAAAACTGAGCTGCCAGTAAATGCCACTGTTTCGTTTTCGATGCGCCACCCTGTATATTGTCATTGTCATTGCTTGAATTCTACTCACAAAAGGGCCACCGAGGTGGCTGACACGTGAGAATATCTTCAACTCTACATCTGTGGTTTTATTTGGAGGCTAGTGAAACATGGAGTTTCATCATTTAGAATTATTTTTTGGCAGAACTGCGTTTTAACGTTTTCTTTTTATGTCAAGCTATACCGAAAATTTATTGAGCGATAATGTATGAACGTTAAGAAACATCGTAAACATTTTTTTATGAGTAAAACTTTTGGTGAGTCCCAAACCAATCTTCATTTTGGCTGCTTCATCGTAATTTCATCACTACCAATGGTTATAGTCTAATCATATTAGATGAAAATACCCCTGGCTTGCGAAATAATTTTAATGTTTCGTTTTATTGCTGCAAGTTGTTCAAGGGCGTATTCAAAAGATGGACGCATAAACCGGGTACTCCAATTTTTGTGGGAACATTTATTCGACAACAGTTTTTGAGAATTTCCAATTCTTTATCCCAAAGCAGCTGTTTTCTGGCCATGACTACTAGTTTATTGAGTAATATACAGGGTTAGTTCAAAGGCTATTTTATAGCCAAATACACTAGTTTACCTTGCCGATATAAATGTTATTTTTATGCAGGAAAGGATGGGTTACGTTTTCTCTTCTATACAAACTCAAACATCTCATATTTGTGG